ATCAAGAAATCAAGCTCTCCTATTGGATATCGGACGTCGTACGTCGGATGTCGGACGCAGTGTGAATCCTACATTAGGGTGCCGTCACATACAGCCCGCAATCCGTAATCCGCACCGTATATCAGCAAAGGTTAGTAGGGATTGCGTCCGTAACGTTACGTGTATTTTATCTCCTTATGTCCCATGGAGCCGTAATTCCGGAAAAGTTACCAGTTTTTACTAGTAATGCTTTTTCTAATTTTATCTATTTGACTAAATTTGACGGTTTAAGTAAAGTTTTTATTATAATCAAGATATATTATGCAGTTTTCTTATGAAATAAATTAAAAATAATCAATATAACTTGTTAAATAAAAAAATAATGTAAAGCATTACTAGTAATAACTGGTAACTTTTCCGGAATTACGGCTCCATGGGACATAAGGGTGCAGTCACTTGAAGTCAGAAATAACGGAACGGAACAGTAACGGAACATTGATAGAAAAGAGATAGAACAATCCTATCTCTTTTCTATCAATGTTCCGTTCTGCTATTTCTTTCTCCATCGGGACGCACTCTAAGGAGATAAAATACACGTAACGTTACGGACGCAATCTCCAGTAACTTTTGTGGACATCCGATGCGGATTACGGATTGCGGGCTGTATGTGACGGCACCCTTACACCATGTAGAAAACAGAGATGCGATATTGCGTCGGTTGGGTTAGGTAGCTACCGCCATTTTAATTCAATATAAGTTCTCTTGTAAAAAGTAGAAAAGATTAGATTAGGTTAGGTTAAGTCCGATACTAAATATTCACACAAATAAGATTGCACTTCGACACTGTATTGTCTAAATTTTTCTCTCTATATATATGTATGTATGTACATACATACGTTATAAAACTATATTTATACAGATGCATTAGATGCGATAGTGAATTAAAATGGCGCTCCGATCACGTGATTTAGACAGCCAATCAAACCATACCCTTCAATAAAGCCCATGGCACATACAAAAACGTAAGGCCGTAAATGTAATCAGTAATGCCTGGTTTATGCTTCGGTCTTAAGGTCTTAATCCTAAAATTCAGCCAATAGAGTTCAAATTTCGGTTAGAACTGGCAGCTTTATTGGTTGAATTTTAGGATCTTGGGATTAAGACCTGAAGCATAAACCAGGCATAAGCGTTTTGGTTAATCACAGTAGAGATAAGGCCGGTAGTAAATCCAATGTTACGATTTCCTTACTGATACGTCTTACGGCTTTACGTTTTTCTATGTGTTTCTGGCTTAACGCATCTCTGTTTTCTAGGTCTCTAGGGCCGGTATTCATAGTCGGTTCTTATTTCAAGACTTTCTTAAGTAATGTCTTAAGTAGAGTCCTAGATATCAGAGAAGCGCAACCGATGTTCCGCGTCCTGATTAGCTGACTGTCAGCCAATCATGACATTCATTCAGTGGTATTAAAAATGGCTGACTAATAGACGATTGGTGGATTTCATATTTCGTCTGCAAATGACGCCATTTTTAATACTTTTCTTAGTAATTTTGCGATACTGACTTAAGCCGGTTGCGCTTCTCTGATATCTAGAGTCTTAAGATACTAAAGCGGCCCTCTGATTGGTTCGTAACTCTTCAAGACTGAACTTAAGACGGTCTTGAATATAAGAACTGACTATGAATACCGGCCTAGGTATAACCAATACAATCCTCGCCATATTGTCTTTTACCCTTTTTTTCTTCTTTCCTTCCTTGCTCTTTTCCTTCCTTATCAACAGCCGTTTGAGCGCAAATATACCGACTCACGCATACATATATTTGTAACATATATATATATACATATATTGAAAAATACATCGTTTATGAAGTTTCAAACGAAATTCTATAAAAGATATATTAGTGAATATAGCATTCCATTTAATGTTGCAAACTGATGTGCGCCTAAAAATAAAGCATTCAATACACAGTATGTAAATACACAGAAGTAAATTAAAAACACAAAAATAAATAAAGAAAAGGAAAGTAATGTCACATGATTCGAAACATCGCGGCAAGATGATAGTCCGACATTAATTCTTATTGGGCTATGCTCAGAATATTTTAATTTTGCGACTTTTGGAAATATTCTTTGCGCTGATTGGATTATTCTATTTAAATTTAGAGAAATAGTCCTATTTCAGGGAAAAAACTGTCAACAGTTGCAAAATAAACATTTTGCTGATCTTGGCCATTGGATAATTGAAGAAGTGCGTGTGCGTATAGCGTTATCGTGTGGTAGCACACTTGAATTTAATCCTTGATTTGACCGCTATTGTATTACTGGATGTGCGACGATTTCATGGTAGCTGCGTGTACGTTCGTTGACAGGAAAAATCGTAAACCATTTGAATTTTAGAAATAACATACGAAACCATGGACCTACGTAGCTGGCCAATTGTCAGCTCATTGGAGCCAGAATTTGTGAAACAAATTCACATGGTTATGGTGTACAACGTAGAAAGTAAATAATTTTTTTTTTCTCTACCGTATTCGCTTTGACAATGTTGTTCACTTTACTTCTAGAATTAGAAAATGGTTCTAATGCATTAATCCTGACGAAAGACAAGATGGTGTATGTCTTGCAGGACAATTACGATTGTGATGAGGGCGAATTCTCCATGATATATCCAAAGAAGATCGAGACGCTGTGCACGAAAAAGATAAAATCATTCGCGTTTGGCAACGATCGTAACCTTCTAACACTTACAGAAGGTGGAGAGGTATATTACAATATGATAAGTGAATTTGTTTGTTATTGGTATCTCTCCAGATAGCAAAATGCTAGCAGTATGCCAGCAAACTTGATCATGCCGTGCAGCAGATATCAAGCTGCTGCTTCCTCATTAAGCTTAGTTTCTAACAGCTTATCCTGCCAACTTAACACAACGATAGAAATAAACAACAAAAATCAATCATTATTTGCTATCACATCGTGACAGCGAAAACGCGGTAAAAATACAACATGATCTGACCATAATCAAGTACTGACAGCCTGCCGTCACGGCGTGACGGTAGGCTGTGCTCGATTTTTGCTAAGTTTTTGCTGTCAGTACTTAATTATGTCAGATCGCGCAGTGTTTTTACCACCTATTTATACTGTCATAATATGACAATAAGTGTGCCAGATTTTTAACAACATTTTGCTGATTTATAACATGTAGTCATGTTTTATATCAAGTTTTCATCTATTTTTTGTTAATTTATTTTGCCAGCATGTAATGCTCGAATTCTGCTTGCTTTATTTCGGTAATGTTTGATGAATTTTTACAGAATTTTTACTAATGTATTATCACGCAGGTCTGCTCTATTTTTGCTATATTTCTGTTAGCGCTATACCGAAATGGTAAACCGTGTTCGACTGTTGCTCGATTTTTGCCATTATAATAATGTAGTATAAATTAGCAATGCGTGCTTTTGGCAGGTTTGGCTATCTGGGTCTGTAACATCTCTCTTTTTTATAGGATATATGTAATTTTAATTTCTTTTCTTCGAAATACACATTTTTATTAAATGCAAATTTGTTAACCGTTAAGTTTCAAAGTAGTTAAAAGATAAACGATATACAGGGCGTTATCGTATAAAGCTATATCCACACAAACTTGCATAGCCGCATAAACGTACGCATAAAGAAATTGATTGGTCCATAAGCAAATACATAAGAAAATGAACCAATCAATTTCCTTATGCATTTGTTTATGCGGCTATGCAAATTTGTGTGGATATAGCTTAAGTAGCCACCCCTTTTTGTCTGATAAACTAATAGTGATAGACGTAATAAATAGTCTCAAACGGCTCTAAGTTGGAAATTGGCCATATCGCAGAGTTGAAACTGAATAGGTAGCAGTCGCCCGTCAAACTTTAAACTGCGAAATAACTTGTACATAAATTGTAAAATAATTTTGTTATATATTATTGCATTCTTTAGAACATACGCTATAACTTTTATTATATTAAAATGTTTAATGTATCGTACAAAAATTATGCTTATATCCTTCTGTTATCTAATATAAATAATTTTTTTCAGTTATCACTATGTTTATAATAAAAGTTAACATTTAATTTGAGACCATATTTATTAAGTCTATCTCTTTTAGTTTATGAGATAAAATTGGATGGATACTTATACGATAATAATTAGCATATTAAATTCACGAAAAAAATTTATATATTTTTTTTAATCGGCCTCTTAGCTGAGAAGTTTTCATGTTATGCCCTTAATTTTTAACAAAATAATGTTAAGACTAGAGGTCGTTAATGAACGATTTTTAAATCAAATTTTTGATTTTCCTTAATACATGTTCAATCTGATTGTAAAGTGACTTAATAAGGATTTTAAATATAGTATACTAGTTGTATGTTTTTTTATTGAACATGATGTGATATGATAAGTCATTAAACTCTATGATATACGCCTTAAGAAATACAGTCTGATTAATGTGAAAAAATGACTAAATTTCGAGTTTGACGTCGGTTTTATTTTATCTTTCAAATGAGTCGTTATACCTCTTAAATCGCAGGTCTGTTTACTCAGAAGATCCATTCGGAATTTTCTCGAAATCTCCTAAGCTTTCAAAAGTTGCAGTTTAACTGAACTATAATATGTTTCTAAGGATAGAAAAAAATTGTTTACAAGTTCTAAAGTTTAATGTGTATATCGCTTTGTGGTTTTGATATCTTTAAATTAAATGCCTGATTGTTAATTTTTTCTTTCACAGGTATATATCTTAGGATCTGACAAATATTTTCAAGAGTTAATTTTTTTTAAGAATATGAATGTTGAATTGCCTACTTTAATAGAGATACCTTCTTTGGATGACAATCTGAGTCTGAACCGTGTTGTAGACATAGCATGCGGAAATCTTCATTTTGTCATTCTGACAGAGATTGGCCAGGTAAGCAAAGTGTCAATGATAACATTCTTCATCATGAGTTGCAGAATAACCAGTTCAATTTAGGTGTATACTTGGAAAGAATCGTTTAAAAGGGATCGTAATAATATGGTACTGAGAGATACTACACCTAGGAAGTTTGATGCTTTGGCTAGGAAAAAGGTTGTCTACATCTCTTGCGGGCTAACCTTCACCATTGTGGTTATTGATAATGGCGAGGTGTATGGTTGGGGTGATAACGATATTGGCCAGCTGGGTGTAGGCGATAAGAGGGGCCGACAGATGCCATGCCAGCTCAATTTACTGAAAGGCATTGTAATAGGTAATTCTTGTCTCGACAAAGCAAGAAAGGAACAAGAAAACGATAAAACCTAATGGGATTACTGAGCAATTGGTATTATTTCAGTCAAAGTGGCTTGCGGAGACACTCACACGCTGGCGCTTACGGACGAAGGGAATCTCTATGCCTGGGGTGAAAATGAAAGCGGTCAGTTAGGGAATAACTGTCTAAAACATTCTAATGAACCAGTCCTGGTATTTATTGGCATATTTATTGACATCACAAAAGAAACACCCAAAAAAATGAAAACAAAGGATTTTATGATCAAAATTATTATATTATCAGGTTGCGCACAAAATGGGAAAAGTGTTTGACATTGCCGCTTTGTACGAAAGAAGCAGCGCCATGGATAAAAGGGGACGTGTATACGTATGGGGTCGCTGCCACGAACAGAAAATCATGACCCCAATCGTCACTCCATTCTCGGATATGCATAGGGCGCTTGCATGTTACGGATTTACGAACATTATGCATAAACCGTTGATCCTGAAGGCAGACGATGAACTGCAGTTGGATATATTAAAGATTCTGAGAATTGCATTCGACGATCCCGTATGTTTTGCTTTTTATGTGGTTTCTGCTGGTTTAGCTTATGTTTTCTCGCATTTTCGAAATGTCGGAAATAATATATGAATTGAATAACTATGTCCAGAAAACAATGAATTATCAGAATGGTTAATTTAATTGGTTTTTGCCAGGGTTGGGTAAGTTACTTTTTTTTTTTTAACTAAGTTAAGTTAAAGTTAACAATTCCTTGAAAATTTAACTTAGTTAAGATACAAGTTAATGTATAATGAAATTAATTGAATTAAAAGTTAAGTTAATAAAAAAATGTAATTGAAAAGTTAAAAGTTAAAAATACATTTTTTTCATGATTTCAGGGTTTTAGTCTTAATAATAACGGAAGTGACGATAAAAAAAAATATTTAGATTTTAGAACATATCCAAAATTTTTATTATATTAATTTTTTTATAATAATATACGAGTATATCTTTTATAATTATATGTTTTATTTCTATATATACTCGGTTTTATATGTATATTCTATTATTATAATGTCAACATTCATTGCGTTTTTGCACAAAACCTCAAACTCTTATTATTAGAACCGAATAAATGCAGCAGCAAACTACAAATGACTACAAGCTATTGTAGTCATTTGTAGTTTGCTGCTGCAAGTCCTGCAAGTTAGAACCAGTGATGCAAACTTGTGTCCGCTTGCGAACAATAAAGAGTCTCTACTTGCAGAACATATCAACAGCGTCATTCATCAATATGAAACAGACTGGCGTAACACATAACCAATGATGCGAATATCTATAATACTTACAGTACTCGATCAATGCCACCGAAGGCGCTGATCGCGTGCTGCAAGCCGGCCGGAATTGGTATCTTTAGTTACGTGTGGCTCGTAATATGGGTCTGACAATGAGACACTTAACTTTAAAAAAATTAATAAAAAGTTATTAGTTACTGATAAAATGTAACTAAATAAAGTTAAAAAGTTAGGAGTCTAAAATGTAACTAAGTTAAGTTAAAATTAATTAACTTTTTAACTTAACTTTTAACAATAATTAACACGTTAAATAGGGCGAATAAGAGTCAAATTACAATTTAAAATCTAAATCTGTTAACTTATTCTAATATTATATATTGCGAAGAATATCACATAATGTTTGGCGTTTCGTCCCGGCTTCCACTACTGGACTCATCAGTAAGGCATTGTAGTGGAAGCCTACCTTATACGCCTGTGTTAGATGTTAAGTCGAGATACTATATGAAGAAATATTATATACGCGTGTCGAAGCATTTGCGAGAATTTGCGAATATCGATAGACCTCTGATGGCGAGTCGACGTAGTGATATTCTTCGCAATATTTTTCCAAAGTAGGAAATAACGTTCTATTAATATATATAGTCCCCCCAAATTGCGCGCCGAACAATTGTCGGACTTGCAACGCAACTCTAATAATCTGATTTATAAATGTCCCCACTCCTTAATTTTTGCGCGCCGAAAGGATTTCGGTCTTGATATTCTTCTCGTGATATTCTTCGCAATATATAATATTAGAATAAATTAACAGATTTAGATTTTAAATTGTAATTTGACTCTTATTCGCCCTATTTAACGTGTTAATTATTGTTATATAAAAGAGTCCTTCAAATCTTCAATTTATTTGTTAACTTTTAACTTTTTAATTTAGCACTACCCAACCCTGGTTTTTGCTGTTCAAAATATAGAAAGTAATTAAATCGCTGAGCGATTTTGTCTTTTGAATTGAATCAATAATACTGTGACAAGAAAAACATGCAATTAAAATAAATAAATCTAATTATGCATATATAATTTAAAATCGTTATTCACACGATGGAGAAATACTAATGCATACATATACTATGTGTATTTATATATTTCTATTGTAAAGGTTTATATCTATTGTTTTTCTTGTTAGATTTTGTTTTAATTATAGTGTTATTAGCTTGAATTTTTAAAAGAAACTGTATTTAAAAAAAAATTTATTTTGCATGGAAAGAAGAGATATCAAACTAAGCGAAGTGTATCCTACATGTGTTCAGACCTACGTAGCTGGCCTATCGTCAGTTTCCTGGAGCCGAGATTTGTCTCGCAAATCCACATGGTTATGGCATTCAGTAATTATTTATTCTCTTCACTTATTTTGCAAACTCATTTTGGCAGTATTGTTCATCTTTGTGTCTCGAAATAAGTATAGATGCTAATCAGGCCTTAATTGTAACAAGAGACAAGATGATATATGCTTTAGGTATCAACTCCGACGGGTGTTTGGAGACAGGAGACACACTCCTGTTAATTCCGAAGAAGGTCGAGGCTCTATGCATGAAGGATATAAAAACCCAGCATCCGAGAATAGATTAAAATGGATTGGCCATTTTGTCTATTCGAATTCGTATTTTAAACAGCGAAAACTTTTTTTTAGATTCAATTGGATTCAATTAGATTCAATTGGATGCAACTGGATTGAAAAACTGCGTTTTCTATTTAAAATTTTGAATTGTACAATATTCACTATGGTCACAAACGCACTGAAAAAGCTAATATTATTTTTTTGATTGAAAAGCATACAGATATGCTCCATGCAATTCCTATACATGAATGAAAACATATTTGTATTGAAAAAGATTTATTTTAACATTCATGAATTCGTATTTCTGAAAATTTGAATCCATTTTAATCCATTTCAATTCATTCTCAGATACTAGGACATCTTATTGCGTGGGGAGAGTGCTAAACAATCTACATATAGATGCTGGTCAGGTCTTTATCATAACAAGAGACAAGATGGTATATGCTTTGGGTACCAACGACGACGGGCGTTTGGGGACAGGGGACACATTGCCCACGTTATATCCAAAGAAGGTTGAGGCTCTATGCATGAAGGATATAAAAAAGTTTGCGTGCGGAGAGTGTCACATTCTAGCACTTACAGAACAAGGAGAGGTATGTTAGAAGGTCAGAAGTGTATATTTATTAATTGTCTTCGTAACATCTTCGTTTTTTAAATTCAAGATGGCCTAGTGTTCAGTGTTGAGAGACTCATATTTTAAGTTACTATATGATGTTCTGAAAGTATTTCTACGTTTCTAAAAGAATTTCATCAATTTATAATTGAAAAAAATTTTGACATACTACATTTCGAATGTCTTAACGACGAACAAAATGTATTTGAAACTTATAAACAAATAAATAATTACAAAGGCAACGCTTGTTATGTTTTAAAAACAACAAAAATAATGATATTAAATTACGGTATTAAAACAAGCGCGCGCGCGCGTGCCAACGATATAAATGATAAAAATTTTTATTAAAATATTCTATAATTAAAATTGAGAAACGTTTCAACTTATACATAAGTCCTCTTCAGTCTCCTTAATAAATGATCCTTAATAAATGATAATATAAAACGTAACCATAAACGAAGTATGGTTAATCATTCAAATTATACTCCATCGAGTCAGCAAGTAAAATATGAAAATTGTTTCTCAAGCCGAATAAAGAAAATTATCCGCATCGCAATTGTATTTGTTTAACATTTTTAGCAATTTTGTTGAATATTTCACATCTTACTGATTGGCAAAGTGTTATTTTTTGTAAAACGCTCAGTTTTTTTGTGGCTCTTTCTTTCTCGCGTTTTGTGAAAAATATAAATATTGAACAAAATACATTTTGAAAGTCTGCTCTTGTAAACATGATGAAATAGGAGAATTGAATACCAGTTGTATATATGGCTTAAATCTCACGTTAAAGTATAGAAAACTATTCTAAGATTAAATCTCAGTCTATTAATTTTTCTGTCATTCACAGATATATTCCTGGGGAAACAATCGTTTCGGCCAAGTGGGGAATGGTTCAGATGATGAACATGTTATGTTGCCTACTCATTTAAATATTCTTCCTATGAAGTGCGATCTACATTTGAATAAAGTCGTGGACATAGCATGTGGGTATAACCATTCCATCGCTTTGACCGCGTTTGGCGAAGTAAGTAAAGTGTCAACAATAATTATTTTCAGCTACTAACTAGGTAGTTTGATTTAGGTGTACACTTGGGGACTACATCACATAGAAGAATTCGAGGAATATATAGATGTAGAAAACGAATCAGTGCTCTCATCGCCTACACCCATGCGACTTGATAGTCTACATGGCAAGAAGGTTGTCTACATTGCTTGCGGTGCGACCTTCACTATCGTGATTATGGACAATGGCAATGTGTATAGTTGGGGTAGTAACAAATATGGCCAGCTGGGTGTAGGCGATGAGAGGGACCGACAGATGCCATGCCAGCTCAATTCACTGAAAGGCATTGTAATAGGTAGTTTTCGTCTCGATAAAGCGTCAAAAGAATAAGAGAATCGTAAAATCAAATGGGATTACTAAGCAATTGATATTGTTTCAGTCAAGGTAGCTTGCGGATACGCTCACACGCTGGCGCTTACAGACGAAGGGAACCTCTACACCTGGGGTTTGAATACAAATGGCCAGTTAGGGATTGGCAATGGAACGAATTCTAGTAAACCAGTCATGGTATATTTATTATCGTCATAAAGAAAACAACAAAGAAAAAAAAATAAAGATAAATTTTTATATTATCAGGTCAAACACAAAATGGGAAGAGTGTTTGATATTGCTGCTGATCACTGCAAACAGATAAGCATCGCCGTCAACAAGGAAGGACGTGTGTACATATGGGGTCTTTGTCGCAAAAATTCCATTACGAGCCCAATCGCCACTCCTTGTTTGAATGTGCACACCGCGTTTGCATCTTACACGTCGCCGGCTGTTATGCACGAACCGTTGATCCTGAATGCGAATGAAGAATTGGAAATATTAAAAGATCTGAAAATTGCATTCGACAATCCCGTATGTTTTGTTTTTTGTGCGGTATCTGTTTGTTTTACGTGTACTTTCTCGCACTTTCTAAATTCACGTTGAAATAAATGACTGCATTTAGTAGAGAGAGTCGTTCAATGAACAATTAGAAAAATTAACATAATTGTTTCTGCGGATATAAATGTACAAAAAATAATCACTGATGAACGATTTTATCTTAGGAATGCGGCCAACAAGACGAGAAATATGCGCAATTAAGATTAATAGATTTAGGCCTGATTGCACCAACGTGATTTCGATTTTAAGCGAAACTTAAACTGTCTCTGTCTCTGTCTCCCTTTCGGCTTTAAAATGAGATAGATAGAGTTTTAAGTCTCGCTTAAAATCAAAAAGTATTGGTGCAACCGGGCCTTACTTACTAATTCTGACTATTTATGAATATATGATTTTTATCCACAATGAAAATATTAGTGTGTATATATATGTACTAATGATAGAAAATATGTACTAACGTTTTCATCGTAGTAGTTAACATTTATCGTTTTTTGTTAAAAAAAAGTTCTATTTTAATTATTTTATTACTAGCTGAAGCTTATTACTAAATAAAATACTATTTTTTAAATGTCTATAGTTTAGAAAGAATGTACTAAATATATAGACATATGTGGGCGCGCGCGCGTGTGTGTATGTATGTGTGAGCACTTTAATATGTGTTATTTTCGATTTTAATTGAAGAATGAGACAAATAGCTTATAGGAAGTTAATTTTGTACGCATCTGTCTTTAACGTTTTCCCTCATTTTTTTACAAAGTTGACAAGCGATCTTACAATACATGTGGAGAACAAATGTATTCACGTGCACAAAGCTGTTTTGAAATTTCGCTCTTCGTACTTTAGAAGGATGTTTCAACATATTTGGTCGGAAAATAATCAGAGGTACGTAATGATTTAACAAAAGATTAGTGTTGAAGTCTTTTTCAATTTTCTCATTTTATTAACGTTCTTCTGTCCGGAAAGTGTTATTCAGCATGATCAATATTCCTATAAAGTCTACAAAGCCTTCTTGAATTACCTGTACACCGACGTGATAGAGTTACCCTGGGAGCAAACCGTTGGTGAGTAATATACCATAAGTCGTTATCAATCTAAGTACTCTCATGATTAAAGCAATATTTTTCGAAAACCTGTGAAAACAGAACTTTTCATCCTGGCTAACACTTACTGTGAGGATAGTCTCGAGAAGCGATGTACTGAGATGTTAAAGCACGAAATTACCGTATCGAATGTCGCCTACTTATACAGCATTGCAACCAAATATAACAATAAGGTATTCAAACAGTGTCGTTGTTGACATTTATATACTTCATTAACTGCAAAACTTATTTATTTATTAATAATTAACACGTTAAATAGGGCGAATAAGAGTCAAATTACAATTTGAAATCTAAATCTGATAATTTATTCTAATATTATATATTGCGAAGAATATCACGTAATTTTTGGCGTTTCGTCCCGGCTTTCACTACTGGACTCATCAGTAAGGCATTGTAGTGGAAGCCTACCTTATACGCCTTGGTAAGTTATTAAATCGAGATTCTATATAAAGAGATATACGCGTGTCTTAGATATACGCGTGTCAACAAATACAATATCTCTTTATATAGAATCTCGATTTAATAACTTACCAAGGCGTATAAGGTAGGCTTCCACTACAATGCCTTACTGATGAAGTCCAGTAGTGGAAGCCGGGACGAAACGCCAAAAATTACGTGATATTCTTCGCAATATATAATATTAGAATAAATTATCAGATTTAGATTTCAAATTGTAATTTGACTCTTATTCGCCCTATTTAACGTGTTAATTATTATTAAGTAAAAGAGTCCTTCAAATCTTCAATTCATTAATTTATTTATACTATATGCAATAATTAAATACCATTTGTAAATTTTTAGGAGCTAGAAGAGATCTGTACTAAATTTGCCTTTTTTTATTTAACGAATTTAGAACAAATAAAAGATGATGATGAGGAATATCAGAACGTAATAAAAGATTTAATACTTAAGGCGAGAGAAAAAGGTGGTTTTAAGATGTATACGCCTCTTCCGCTTAAGAACAATACGCCGATCCGTGAATGAATAGAATCGCTATAAATGTCTGTTTTGTTGCATGAGAATTAATAGAAGTTACTAGAAATATGTTGTATATTCACCCATATGGTTTTTTATAATCGCGTAGTTTGTTGAAGTATTCCAATAATTTGTTTTCTTAATTGCATTTTGTTATAGTAGCTTTTTCATGTAAGTAATAAACATAAAACAAAAGTGGGATGACTTTCAGTAATATCTATACATTATTTCGCGTATTTTAATAAATTCGCGCAAGAGATTTCTTCGCCATTCTAAAACAACAACAACAATTAGAGAAACGAAATCTATGTTAGAAAATTAGGATAATCTTTCTTGCTTAGGTGTAAATGAAAGTTACGATGAAAGTTGTAGCGAGTTGTAGAAAATTACGTCCGACAAATAGTTTTTACAAGAGAGCTTGTTATAAATGATCATATAATATAAAGGCTTTGCTTGAATTTATGTGAGGAATCATCCCTTAAAATCTTTTAAAATTATACTTATAGTATTCATCCCTGTATTTATAATTAGTGTGATCTTATGCGGCCGCTCGTCGCAGAAATAATCAATTAACTTTATCGTGCAATTATCTAGCAATTAACTTTTTGTGATCTATCATATTTTTAGGCTCTACAAATTGTAATAGCACACGATATTGTACCGTTTTAAATCACAAACAGTATAATTACAATAAATAATAATCATTGAAGATTCTTAGTATATTATACGATGATCGATTATCGTACCTAACTTCCAATAATAAAAATAATAATCAGTTCATTATCTGTATCGATTGTATATACAGGATGATTGTGTATACAATCGATGAATTAAAAAACTTGCCCAAAATTCGCACTCAGCGCGCACTAATGGCGACAGTTTCGCTAATTGGACTGATTCCTTAAGGCACCTTTTTGTCCTCCCCTAACTGAAATCTTGCATACGCTCTTGCTTTCCTTATACTTCTCCAGCGGAAATAAAAATTTTGATGTGTAAGTCGTATGTAAGAGGAAAGAAACGTAACCGTCTTTTTTACATTTTATAGTATAAACATATGATAGTCGTAGTATATAAATGTTTTATAACTTTCAAAGTGTAAATTTAATGTGTACATGTAATAGTGAAATCTTGTAATTTACATTGCATTTAGTTAACATGATATTATATTACTACCTTAACATATAATACTGAAAATATATATTTACTTGCTTTATTTAACACACACAGTGCCCGACATGTGATCTATTTTTCAACTAATTTTTAAATCGATTTTGACCGATTAGATTACTGATTACATCGGATTATTAATAATACACGTGATTATTAAGATAATTCTACAATGTGCTGTTTGTTTTCTACTTCTTGTTGTTTATCTGTTCCATTCTTAATCAAAAAGCAAGAGACAAATAACAGAAAATAAAAAGCACATTGTAGGATTAACCTTAATGCACGGAGAAACAAAATTAAATATCGGTGGAAAACGTGTATCAAATGCCCAGTCCTATTATATAATATAAATAAATTATCACAGCAGTAAGTATTAGGATAGTAGTGCGGTACGCGGTTAACTAACTATAGGCAGCGCTATAGAGAATCGCGTACCGTGTACTGCATACCGCGCTCCATGTAATCGCATCCTGAGAGAGGGTAAACATCTGCTAATAATATTCAGTTTATATCACTTTGAGTTTCATACAAAAACCTTGATTTTTACTGTGTTTAAAATGTCGAATTTTGTGTTAATCAAGCAGAGCATTTACGGGAATTGTAGAAAACTCTTCGAGAACTATATGATTTCGTCAAAAAATCGACTTTCCCGAACTTGCGGTGTTAGCGAAATTATAGCTCTGCATATTCTTATTTTTTAAAATTTACAGCCTAAATCAATGGTACTGTTAGGTTAATGAAACCTATCAAGAACTGTAGAACTATTGTGGGTGCAAACTGTTATTAAAATTTCCGATGTTTGAAGTTGAGATGCTTCACAGAGACACAAAATTCTATTTCCCAGAACACTACGTGTAAAATTAAAAAAAATTCTGAGAGATGATTGATCTCTGTATCGTAATTTATTTTGATATAAAATATCTTAAAACTTAAAATACTTAGATACACTAAAAATGTCATTATTTTACATTTCAATATATTTTTATTAGATTACAAATGAAAAAAAAAATTTTATTTTTAAATAATCTTCAATTCAGATTGTAAACCATTACTAAATTTTTTATATTATTTTTAAAACGATTTAGAATCTGTAATTTTTCTAAAATTTTTCATTATTTAAAGAATGTGTAATACATCCTTAAATTTACCAAAACGTGATTTGCAGACGTGAAAACGTCAATCTGAGAAAAATGCAAGCTAAAGAAAAGATAGCTCTTCATCGTAAACGCCACTTTATTTTATCTATGTACAGAAACGAAATTCCCTTAAACGTACCTAGACACTGATTGAATACAATAGGATTTAATCGCGTCGAACTTATGTACAAATTGAACGTCGATGGATGCGCGCGGCGTTTTGTACCCTGACTGAGAACGATACGAAGAGGAATCTTAGTGCCGCGTCTGGGGTACCGTGCCCCATTGCGGTGTGCGAATATTATAAAATAAAAAGGAAAAGAGGAGTCTCTCTCTCTCTCTCTCTCTCTCTCTCTCTCTCTCTCTCTCTCTCTCTCTCTCTCACTCTCTCTCTCGCGGAAATTACAAAAAAATTCGTGTAGATAGGTAGACAGGTATCTTTAAATACAAGAACACATGGTACTTTTGTCGAACGCGAGGGATCGAGATAAGGATCGGGTCGCAGTCCTGATCGACAAACCCGTCGTGTGCGGAGCTTTTCGTTCTTCAATTTCGATGCCGAAACCACAAAGATTTCGACGAGCTACGAAATGTCCTCGTTGTCCGACACGGATTCGATTCAAGTTGTTTCACATGAGGCTGAACTGTGCTTCAACAATCCCGCGATTTTCCTGTCTAGTTCCCCGAAATCCCGATGTTTCGTGAAACAAGCAGTTTGGTAATCCGCAGTCGTTTATCACAGGATGCTTTCCAATTGATTAACACAAACGTAAACAAAAATGTAGTAAATGTAACATTGTGTAAGACTTAATTACAACAAAATGTGTACGTTGTGCACGGTTTCGAATAGTTGAGTTATAATAAATGTAGCTTTTTCCATCTGTATTGAATGAAAAAAGCAAAAATGCCAGCCACCCAACGTCCTCCAATCTCATCTACCGACTATCGCGATTAGTAACTTCAAATGCGTTCTAAAACTCGACTCTGTCAACTCTAAATATCTGTTATCCTTGTTCAATATTCGGTGAACAAGGATAAAATGATATTCGGATTGACAGAGTTTTGAAACGTATCTCTGTAATCGTCACGAGAAAATACAAACTTACACAGCTGATTGGTAGAGTTGTTGTGTCAACGATTACGACATTAGAACGCAATTTGTGTCATCGTATGCATGAAAGGATGTCTAGTGAATTTATAATTGGAAAGCACACATAAAAATTTCCTTCCAAATTGAATAAAAAATTGTCTGGAATATATATATCTAAACCAATGCATTGTGGTTCATCGGAATCAAATTTCGATTCTGAAATTATTTGATACGATATTTATAAACTTGGTTTCTCTCCTCGCAACTATTTTATCATTTAAAAAGGATAAAGAGGTACTATTTCGGATTAGTCTCGTCTATAGAAGATGGCGATTTTAATCTCGATTACTAGTTTTAAACTTCTTGAATTAAACATTTCAAGAGTATTATTTTGGACATGTCTACCGACAACTGCAGCGTCGGTGTTCCTTTATTTAATATCAATACTAAAGTAATTACGATATTATTAAATCCACCACAATACGAAGAGAAAAATAATTTTATGAAAATATCACGTTACCTAGCATTGATGCAAATAAGAATGTTAATGTTTGCTTTGGAATTTTATTTTCATAATTGACTTGCGATGACAAAAGTGTCTACTGAAAGTAGTCGAGAATTATTCGTAGTTTTATATCGATCGGAGAGTCTTATTCAAGAGAAAAATTTTTTAAATGGGACGCACAGCCTCATGTGCTCAAACTGATTAAAGAAAATGTCGATCGTTCGCTTCGTTTAAAATCGGAACCTAGTGAGCCGTACATACGTCGCGTAAGCGATAACTTTAGAAGTCGATGTCAGAAGAGAATAAATCTTTGATTCATTAGATAGTTACTTCTACCTGAAAACATTGCCATTGATGAACACATTTATATATTCATGGATACTCCGTCGTGCGAGTAATCCAGAAGCGTATTCTTTTATTGTTCTTAAGTTAGAAATCTTCACTGTGCAACGTATTTTGCATTTTTTTCTAATAAAGTTAATTGTATAGGCCACACGTCCAAGCAGTCTTGAACTTTTTAGGCAATGTTTTTAGGTCGGAGAATGAAGTTTTATTGCGCTCAAACGAGCAATTTCCTCTTCTTGAATATGTTCGCCTAGTATATTTGATTGACTCCGTGATATAATGACAAGTAAACGGGCATGCAGGAAGAATGAGTCGGATTTGAAATTAGAAATTCGTTCGACCTGTTCTAGTAAACGTTTGGTCGTCATTACGATTTATCTTCTTGTGCTGAATTATTATATTTTCTCTTTTGCGTAATTTTTAACTTTGCATCCGACTCAATCTTTGATCCCATTCATATATATTCATCGCTTTATACTATACATTATACTATACAAAGCTCACCGGTTGTACTTGAACTTACTATTAAGTTCCATGTCCCTCACTTGTATTTACATAACTGTTTACTCGTGTATACAGCAAATTAACGCAGTGTAACGCAAAATATCGAGAAAATCGAGGATGTATGTCTAACGCACAATACAAACATCAAATTCGATCGTTTACGTTAATTAATGTACATTGGACTTCAGAGACAGATGACCGCAAGTAACCGCATAACGTTTATGAAAGAACCTGTATATTTCGTATCACATGTCGCTCAGAATCTGTCGGATTCTATCACAAGAAATTCGTGCGTACGCGCGCGCGCGAATATGTCTGTACGCAACAAGGTAAAATATTTCTTGGACCGGTAATGGCAATGTTTTTTTTGAATCTAGGATTCTATATAGCCGATAAAGAGTTTCTTTTAGAGACTAATCACTTGCGTCACATTGCCTCCGAAATTGACAGCAGAGAATGACCAAAATCGAGACGCTATTTTATTTTATATTTAGGATCCCCTCAATTACTTTCTCTGTTCGACGCTTCAACCGCGAGTCGTCTCTGGACTAGAGTGAGCTTATCTTTATATAATGAGAGACATAATATCATCTTATTCAAGGTTTCGACTTCGACCTTTCGAACTCGCAGGCCAAAGCTGTAAACGAGGAAAATAATCCAGGGCATTGTATTCAGGATAGAGACTTTGGTTATTCTCCTCTATGTAAAAATTCCATCGAGAATGATTACTCTTCTCATATTAGTACGCTCTATCTTCGAAGCTTATTCTAGGTCGTCCCTCGACCGACGAAAAGAGGAGGACTTTCAGCCGAATTTATTCACACGTCTCTCCACGATGCAAGGATCGGTGTGGGTCTTTAACCCAAGTTGAAGATTGTGCGACCCACACTTCTATGAACGAAGTGTGTAAAAGTAGCTGCCATTAACACATTCATTGCCAAGATATACATATATTTCTCAATTTTTACGAATCTTTTTCAAGATAGTATTTTTTATTGAATATTGCTCTTTTGATAATAGTTGTTTCATTCGATCTTTTGCATATGTATTTTTCGGACTCTTGATAGACAAGATATTTTGCGCTTTTCGCCAATCCGCTCACTTGCTACTGCTCTACGGGCACAGCCAATGTGTTAAAAGAAAATCGCTTCGTTTCTTTTTTCTCCTTTTGATTACGTTGACTCCCCCCTCTCGGCCGGAGGACTCCAGCCGGCTGTCGACGCGAGAGAAGCACTAGGATGAGAGAGAGAGAGAGCGATGCCGTCACGTGCGGAATAATGATTTTTCCCCGAAAGAGAGTCAGTCTTGAGGATTAATAGATAGCTCTGGTACGATTTGATCCTGGCATGAGGACCTGCTGCCGGACGTAGGCGTGTATAATCGCAACGGCTTCGACAGCCACGGGTGTAGCGACACGTCCTCAGCATATGGCCGTTCAGATGGCTCCTTTCGCAGCAGCGAGCGGATCAGGCACTTGGCGCGTGGACTCAGGCCCTCCGGCACGGCGAACAAGCCGCGCGAGATCTTGGCGAAAAGAGACGCGTGCTCGGCGTCGTTGAACGGATAACGGCCCACCAGCATCGTGTACAGCAACACACCCAGCGACCAGATGTCCGCCGCCTTGCCGGAATAGGCGCGTCCGGAGCGCAGCACTTCCGGCGCGACATACGCCGGACAGCCGCGCCGATCGGTCAGCTTGTCGTCGTCGTTCTCCACGATCACCGCGTCCTCGAGGCTTTCCAGGCGAAGCCGCGTTCTGGAAAAAAGAAACGTCCAATTAGAAAATTTCGTCAAGATTACAGTAATCAATTTTTCGTGATTTGTCGTAGAGAGATAATCGAATTGTATTTATTATATGTGGAAAAAGCGATTTTGCTAAAGTATTTTAACAAAATTAACTAGAAATTAGATCTGGAAATAATTTAATTTAAATCCTCAAAATTATGTAAGACGCGTTCAAGCTGATTACACTGAAAATAATGATTTATTTGATTAAATTAATGTAGAGACCTATTCTATATCTCCCCTCTAATATTTGTAAGACTGTTATAGCGTTACAGCCTGTTAAGGCCTGTTATACAATACACGTATATCGACATCGTGAGCCGTACGTCGTAAGAATCGATCAATCACAATTAAATGTGAGGAGAATACTCAACTGTGATAGGTCCATTCTTACGGCTTACAGCTCACGACACCAACATACAGCGTATTGTATAACAGGCCTAAGAGTTACAGACAAGAGACCTCTTAAGCCCGTGTCACACTACGAATTGTGGACGCGGATCGAATTGAGATTGCAGATCGCACATCGGAATTCAGCCAATCAAGATAAAACTGCTTTGTGTTGATTGGCTGAATTCCGATGCGCGATTCGCAATCTCAATCCAATCCGCGTCCACAATCCGTAGTGTGACACGGGCTTTAGTCATTTTAATTTTTTTCATTGGAGAATGTGTGCATTTAAGTCAAATGTAATACACTTGACTGAAATACACACATTTTTTCATCGAAACAAATAAATACGAACTAAATTGATTTAATTTTTTCAGACAAAAATGTTACCCTTTTGGAGCACTGCCATCAACTTTTCTATATAATTATTTGCACGATCCAACAAAATTATTTTCAGATCTATATCTAATTAAATTTTTAGATACTTTAGCAAAACCGTTCTTTCCATGTATATCTATCTCTATCCCTTTAGTGTTAATTTTTTAGCTCTGAAGATATAAAAAAACATTATTCAATAGTTAATAAGCGTACACCAGGATGAACAGCCCCCTCCACCCAGATATTGATTAAATATACCCGCTCGATCTTTCTCTTTGTTGTAAAAGATTTACAGTCTTTCTTCCTTTCGTCGTGTGAAATTCACTCTACGTGCCTCAGACACGCGTTACGTCAAGCCCTGCATTTATTATCGACCGGTTATGATCTCGCTCGCTGCGCAAGTTTGCGAACTAGAAGCCGAGGATCGTGCAATCTTTTAATGCACGCGGTCTCGAGAGAGATCTTCGGGTTCGCCTCGCGCGCGCGTACTTTTAAGTGCGCGCCCGGTATTTCAAGGTATTTCAATTTAGTAAGAGGATATCGCGATTGAGCCATCGTTCTCAGCCGTCGTCGTGCCGTTGGCAAAGTGGCATAGGAGAAAGAGAGAGTGAGAGAAAGAGAGGAGAGCGCTGCGTCGTCGTGCTGGTCGGTCGTTGCGTTGATCAACCTGCAACGCGGAAGTCGCGCGTGTACGTAATATTCTTGGCTCTTGGGTAACTTCTGAGGCTCTCCTTCGAGTTCTCGTATTCTCGCCCACGATACTCAGTTAGGAGAAGGGGCAGCACAGTCGGGAAAGCGCCACGTATTCTATATCATATTATCCTACAGAAGTATACATTCCTATGTATTTGTCATTCCTTTGAAGTCATTCCAGCAGAAATATTTTAGATTTCATTTATTTTGAAACTCGTGTATATAGAAATTGCATTTCTGTGAGTTTAGTAAAATAATATAGGTGGTGGTTGAAAGAGAAAGACGTAAATCCCGTTTAAATCATCAAAATTGCATTTTCTTAGAGAGTCGAATTTTCGCTGAAAGCTTTTGCACTAATTTCGGCGTAATTCATTGTTAATATAGTAATGTTACTTTGTGAATACATCCTTACGAATTTCTCATCATAAATGAAGGAAATTTCTAACAAGAGAGACATTTTCACTGATGTAATAATAAGGTCGACAAAGTTGTCACAAATTCTTCGTCCAAAAATTCCATTTCTTCGATTCTCAAACAAAATTTCACGATTTTTTCTGATGCTTTTAGTAATTTTCAGCTATTTTGAAATTGTTTTTGTATTTTCATTTTATAAATCAAGATCAAATATTTTGCGAAAGCAATTTAATAACAATATAAATTACTATTGATGTTGCTGACACTGTTTGTATTTAATTAAGTTGATATTTCAAAACTATGTAGGTGTGATATATGCATCTTTAAGTATCTTCTTTAAAGACAAAGATTTTAATTTTTCAAAAAATTTTGCAAAACTTCCTAACGTTTCCCTGACTTCTCTGACTGTTTTCAATTTTCTAACATTTCCTTGAGTTCCAATTTTATGGCAATCCTGATCAAATTACATAATATAATCCATTGTACAATATTTGTAAAAATATATTTCTTTAAGAGGAATTATTTTTCAACGAAATCATCACAACAAGAAAAATCTATTTCAACGCGTATTTCGGAAGAACCTAATAAAACGGAAGCGCAGCTACGGTAAACGCACACGTCACGCGAGAGAGTCGTTATACGATCTTGACAATCCGAACGAGTGTCAATGGCCTCGTCTCTCTCTTTCTTTCTTTCTCTCTCTCTCTCTCTCACACGAGCAAATGAATCGAACGAACGCGCGCAATGGCACGCTAGACCATTCGTGATGAACCAAACGTGGCCGCCGCGAAGAAAGACAGATACAGATAGTGAAGAAGGGGGGGGGGGGGGGGGACGGTCGCGCAGCATGATATCGCTCCGGGTTCAAGAACCCCTCAGTGCGGCAGATACTAGGCACGATGAATTTCTTGGACAGCTTGTAAAATTTTATAAACAGTCGAGAAAACAAGTTGATACTTGAAGGCATCGGTCTTTCGAGGAAGGCAACGATCTCTTTGGACTCCAAACGCGAACACAACTCTCGTTTCCTCGCTACGTTACAATTGCGAAGTCTGAAGAAGATCCCGCTGATGCCACATGCTGAATCATTAATCAAGCGTCATTGATCAATTAACTACGCTCGCAGACGCTCGGCAAATTAATGTTTCTAATGACAAGGTGAATCTTCTCGAGATAATTTTCATCCCACAATTATATTAATCTTCATACAAGGAAAATCCGGAACCAAGTGGCTGCGTATATCACACATAGGTAAATGCATCTTGCGGGCGTAAAGAAATTATTTTTTTAGAATATTTTATACCAAAGTAGACATCCTATAATTACGTTATTAATATCGAGTTCAAAATTTAAAAATTAAAATATAATTCATAATTGCAAAATAATATTATCTCAATTCTTAAACGCCACACTATGAGAATAATGTATACCTACCCACACACACATCCAATTCGATTGCTTGTAACTTTCATAAAAATAAATATATTGTAAAACAGTTTTCTTCATTTCAAAACGCCAGACATTAAGGTCCAGTTTTTCATTTTCTTGTTATTATTTTCATTAACAATAAATTTAATAAAGAGTCAGGCTCCAAAAGAATGAATTCAACGAAACAAAATAATGCCAATAAGACCCGTCACAGTACATAGGTGTTGTTTGTATGAATTAATAGTATTTATTAAAAAATATATAAATTGTAGACGTTTTTCGACCCTATAAGTTCGACCCTATAAGGGTCGGCCTTTTAAAATTTTTATTAACCTGTTATATTATATTTTCAGTAGCTTGTTAAATTTAATTTCGTGATAACGTAAAAATTGTATTTTTTTAAGTGATTTTTTAGTGATTAGTGATTTTTATAAAGTTACCATTATAAAAATCATCAGTTTAATAATTAATCATAGAAAAACACAGTTTTTACATTATCAAAAATTAAGTGAAGTTAATTCTAAAACATAAATTAATCAGAAAATAAAAAACCTAAGAAACTTAAGTAACGATATTAAGCAAACATATGCAGCTTTGATATTTTTATTAATAAAGAAGTTATACAAGCAATGGAAAAACGCTGAAAAAAGAAAGTCAGATACGCGATAATAAGATGTTCAAGGGTGAATGTTTCGTGTAAATATTTAAATAAATTACATTGGATGTCCGTGCCAAATGCCCGAATACAGGTCCTCAGGTCAACGTCCCGGATTTACACTTTCAAGAATAGAGAGTGTCTCGGGCGCGAGAATTAAACGAGACTGACGATTTTACTCATCGCCCATCGGGATCATTAACCTCACGAATGATTATCTCCGTTGATTGAATTTGGCGTCACGAACTATACCAGTGCTCGATAGAGTTGCGAAATTTGGTGCGTAGAGAGAAATCGCATTGTACTTTTCACTAAGAGTTTAACGCTATGTTCAACACCGTCGTCGACGTTAACGATGGCGGAGTTTTAGCCGAGTCACACGCGTGACGTATTTAGCAAATTACCATAGATCGAACTCCAAGGCGATCCGGGAAAAGACTGATTTGATCGCCTTAATCCGCCTATTGTCGGCCGATGAGGTAAAGAGAAACCCACGAGAGATCCGCGAGTAAGATGGAAAATCTTCGTGCACAGAGATGTTGGCGAACTTTCGAAAAGAAAGAAAGATGTATTCGAAACCAGTAACTGCGAGTGATTTTTTATAAAATAGTACATTAATAAATTTACTGAATTTTAATAAATATTTGTTTAAATGGTACTAACTAAACACATTTACTGTATAATTTTTTATCGAACAAATGTTTAATACTATCTAAATGTTTAGTTTAGTACTATAGGAATGTTTCTTGTTATTCGATAATTTTCGAATATTCGATATTTTTTGCTGCTCGACATAAAAATATCGAATAATAAATTATGAATAAAATATTGACCAGATATTTTTTTACTATTCATATTCACTCTCTATTTTTATGAATGTACTTTTAGGAGTTTTGGATGCATTCAGTAACTCATTACTATGCTGACTGAACGTTCAATGAGCTCTTGCATTTGTTTAGTTGGTTTATACTTTTGGATTCAACGGAATGTGCCAATTGGATGCAAGTATTCAGTGAGCGGTAATTAGTAATACTGAACACACCCATTGTATTTCATAGTTGGTAATACTGTTTGTGACAGATGCGCGCTAAAATACCTGTTTTAAACATGTATTTATTTTGCTGTGTATATAATTCTGAATTCTTTGCTTGTGTTCATAACTTCACAATATAAGTCTTGTGCGGAAATATTTTACAAAATTAGAAAAAAATTTATAAAATGTAAACTATGTTCCAAAGGTATAAAGAGTTCTGGGACGATTTCTATAACTTCTTCGCACATTTAAAGACAAAACATTTATTTGCATATAATGATTGTGTAAAAAAGAAAAAATCAGAGGTAAGTTATATTGTTTTTTACATATCTTCGTTCGTAAGTTCTAAAAAAAAGTGGCATTTTCTTTTTTTAATTTATTCGTTGTGCGATATATTCGATATAATGTCTATTTATTCGGAATAAATATAGATAATTTTAAAATATCTGAATATATTCATAATTGATATTTTTGCTCGATATTGGCATGTCTAGTTAGTACTATTCAAACAAATATTTAATAATTTATTAAAATTTAAATTTTTTTCAATTTAAAAAAGATTTATGCTTATTTCCTTCTATGCAGATTAATCTCTGTTCAACTTATCGTTCATCTAATTTGTAGAACTATAATAGAAAAAGATCAAAAGAATAAATTAAACTGACAACTGCGAGATGTAAAGTTAATCTATACATTGGAACTGAGGGATTATGCTAGTTTCTATCAATGTAGATTAACTTCAATCTCGGTTCAACTAACTTTCTCAAAACTAGGAAAAAATGAAAAGCAAGTTGAACCAAGATTAAAATTAAACTAAAACAAGATTAAAATATGTACATTAGAGTAGAAATGAGTGTCATTTAATCTCGATTTCATTTACTCTTTATTCTTTTCTAATTCTTAGAATTAGAAAAAAAAATGAAAAGTAAATTAAACTAAGATTAAAGTTAATCTATATACATTGGTAGAAATGGATATTCAATTAATTTATCTCATTGGTCAAGCCAAAATTTAGCGCATGCCGATTAAAGTTTTCGGATTTTCCTCCAATTGTTATTACGAACTCTTTATTAGACACCGAACGTTTCGCACGTTGTTGCATCCCAAGGAGATTGTTCGAGGATTACTCGAGGAAGGCGCGAAACTCCTCCCTTTCGGAGAAAGGGAGGAAGAAAGTATACCACACGCCGTCTCGGATGTCGGCCGTGTCGTGCCGGTGGAACGAGCCGAGCCACGCGTGCGTTTTCCTGATTATATACCGACGTTTCAAAACTCCGCCGCAGCAGCCGATGAACCAATATGCTTTTCTGGCTTGCAACATTCCCCGGACTCTCCTTATATTCTTACGTATATACGCGCACGCGGGAGCAGTAGCTCGCCGCGCGGTAGGAATGCAATTGGCCAACAACGGACCGACATACGAGTCGATCTCTCGATTGCCGGCGTACTCACTCTGTACACGACACACAACACACGCCCGTCGACTCGGTTTGACTTGGCCGGTCTGTTGCTTGTATGTATTATACATAGGCCTGCCTGCCTGTCTGCCTTCCGTAGCGACATGGGTGGGTGCGTCGTACGTTGTATCGCGAACAGATAATGCCGCACCAACAAGCCTCGTAAACACCCTAAGTCACGACTCGACACGAAATCCCTACAGGAATATAATGGAAGCGATCACGCTGTTCCTAACTCGTGAGGATTTGCAATGATTTGTTCGTGATCATTAGCGACTTAATGATCTGTTTGACAATGAATCGAGTCTGAGACACAACTGAAAAGCACATATACATAGGAACAAGGAATAACCGTGTAATCTGATACACGATTTCTAATAGATTGAAAAATCTGTTATTCCCTGTTTCTAATGTGCTTTTTCAGTTTATTAGGCTTTAAACCTAACTTTACGCGAACTTGAATTTGGTTTAAAAGAGTTACTTAACTTCATACAAATTTGAATTTGGTTTCGTGTTTTTTCGCAAATGCAGGATCGTTTTGTACCGGTTGCTTCTGGAGAGCCTAAGAAATTTCTAGGATCATAAATTAAACGTGGTGTTGGTATGATTTAAGACATTTAAGTTGTAGTACGCCTAACTTAATTAGGAAGCGATTGATATCAATCAATCAATATACTTCATTTTTTCTTCCATTTCGATTGGTATCATAGATGTAGAATCGAGTACTTTTGAATGAGTTTATTTGATGAGTTTTCAGGTGAAAATTGAAATGTATCTTGATACGATACCCCTGTGTACTTTAATGCGCCTTCTCCATTTTTCGAACGGGAACACAATGTCATGCGATATGCGCGATAAATTTCATATTTATTTCATTTTTATATTCGTAAGTAGGTATTTCTTTCCAGCGCCAAGAACAGAGAGGTTATTCGCACGAGAAAAGCACACTCAGAGCAATCGATTTCCCCTTCACTCGGAAAAGCGAACGCAAACTCTGCGCTATTGATACACCTTCGCTTCGGTCCGGATGTGTGTCACTTATCAACTTTCATTACATCGTCATGAGAAAAATGCGGTTGCGATTACTTCTTTTAACAAATATCGGTATGGAATTTACTCCGTTATCTATATACACAAGTATAATAGATATTTAAATACAGTAAAAACTTGAAAAAATGTTTGTATTCTTCTTTCATAACGCTTCAACATTTTCGGATTAGTATAAATAAAACTAAAACTATTTTGTTTCATAGAAAATAAAATAGTTATAATTCAAATTTAGTTTATGACAGGGGCATGAAATTAATAATTCTACGTTAATAAAATATTTTAAGTACTACTTCACAAGACAATCATTGATTAAGTTAAAGTTTACTCGAAGTTGCTTTGAAGAAGCTAGTAAATAATGAAATAAACGGATTCTCACCTCGCTTCATCGGCGAAAACAAACTTTCGAAGTTTGAGGTCCCTCAACACGACCCCGTATTCATGACACGTGGCCACGGCCCTGGCCGCCTGCCGGAATAGTCGCCTTGCTTCGGGCTCGCGTAGTCTCCTGCGTGCCCTTACGTAGGCGTGCAGGTCACCGTGATGGCCCTCCAAGAGGAGATAACGCCGGCCTCCAGGTGCTTCCATTACGCCAGCCACGCCGCTCGCCGCGGCGGTGCCCTCCAGACGAAGGTGGGCCTGCAGCAACGCCTCGCAACCTTTGTCGCCCACGGTCAACGCCTGCAATCCGGAAATGCAACGGAGTCAGTAACAAAGACAATTGCAACAAGTACTGCCATTAAAAACATCGCTAAAAATACGCCGGAAGTGAAACTCCACAGTCCCAATACATATATATCACTAGATAAGACGTTTCATTCCTAACTGTAATTGCTAATCACGGTTAATTAATTGATAGTTTTTATCATTATTTACTGCATTTAAGTAGGTCAAATGTTCAAAGCACCCTACAAAATTTTATTTTTATAGTCATATTTTTTGATAATATGATAAATTTAATATAAGAGAGACCGGGGCACCATGGGTCACAAAAATTCAAACAGTAAAAAATACATCAAAATGTAAGATTTTTGGTAAACTGGTAAATTTCTGGTCTCAATTTTTTGTTCATGATAATGAAAAGTTCATGATAATTTTTAGAAAGAGAATTCTAAAATTAGAAAGAGAGATTCAGGAACACCAAAAAAACAGACTTTGAAAAACAGGGGTACTAACTTCACACCCAACATTAGCACCGCATAGTTTTATATAGCCTATTTATGTATCATATTTTAACGAGTACTAGAATTCCTGATATAAAAAATTTATTTTTGATTTTTTTCAAAAAAATAAAAAAAATTTTTTTAATTAATATCAAGTCCGAATAGTTCTGAATAGCGTTTCCTGAACGGAACTCTTTCTAAAAATTATCCGGAACTCTTTCTCTTGTTCTGAAGAATCCAGAACTCTTATCAGAACTCCGACTTTTAAGTATGGGGGTGTCAACTTCACACACCCAAATAAACGATTATCTGCATTGCAGAGAAAATGCAGAAAGATGTGTAGAATCACATACGTAACTCGTAATAACTATATTATACTTTATAGAAACAACATAAAAGAAATTGTAAGAGGTAAAATAATCACTTTCGCACCATGAGATTCTTTAACAGCATGTGTACGGAAAGATAACGAAAGTGGATTACTGCCATCTAAATACATAATACGGGCAACTAAATAACAATCATATGATACCAATTGCACCAATGTAAACATTTTAGATTTCTCTACACAATCAATGACCCATGGTACCCCGGGACCCATGATGCCCCGATCTCCCTTATGTATAAAGTTAAATGTAAAAATATAACGGACTTTGAGATTTCTGGGCAAAACTTTTTATTTCTTTCTTTTCAGAACAAGATTTTTAAGATAACTATGCGTGATCGCCTACCTCTAAAGATTAATATTCCTGATTAATAAGCTTTTATTCCTGAAATAGGTATTTAATATAATAGTTGTAGAGAAGTTAAAGAACGGATATGCTTTTTTTTTTAATAAGTATGCTTGTCAGAAATTCGATACCGGCTGTATCAATTTCTGTGTTCAATTTCGGTTCGAGTGGAAGTGACTTTTATCATAGCGAGCTTTAATTATTCCAGCGGATATCCGTGAGAGAGCGATATTCACATACTTAAATGACGATTATTAAGATACGTTATTCTTAATCTAGAGAAGAGTTCTACAATCCCGATCAGGTTTAAAGTTGATAAAATTACATCCGCCTCAATTCTTTCAATTATTTTAATTAACTATATTCATATATCAGATATATTATATTAGATATAATTTAGTATATTGATACCAAAGTATTATTTGACACTGAAGCTATACATATTAATATATAATTATGCTACGAATTTGACACAACCTTGATTATAATTAACCCTCGATATAATAATATAATAAACAAATATATAAACAATCATAAATTAAAAGGCTATAAAGAGTCAACGCAGTTAACAGTGCGAAAATTATTTTAATCTTACAATTAACATGCAGAATACCAGTCGACTGGTATTCATGTTAATTGTAAGATTAAAATAATTTTCGCACTGTTAACTGCGTTGGCTAAAATATAAAAATCGACTCTCGAAAATTTCAAATACAAAGAATAAAAAGGCTAATGAGAGTAAACTCGCTGTTATCAATGCGAAATCACAAAAAACAATATATATTCTCGTTAACAATCAAAAAATGTCATATATAAAATACTATACGTTTCGGCCTAACATCCGGGCCATCTTCAGTAGTAAATTCAAATAAAGACATGGATCTGTAATAATATATTATCATGAAAAGTAATATATATTATTAATTAAAGTTGCCAGTTTAAAGTGAACATACATAAGTGTATGCAACTTTCGGCCGATTTTCGAATCGCCTCCGTCTTCCGCTGTCCCCCTCACCTCACCGCTCCGCTCGCAGTCTAAATGCTGCATGACTGTCGAGTTAGTAGTTTTTTGAATATGGCCGGAGACACTACCACGTCTTCTGATATAGTTAATAACAAATAAAAAAATACGAAAGAATAAAAGTCTAATGTCTCATTAGCTGTAGATCTGTATATGCATTATTTATTTATAAACAGTGTTTTTCCCTTGCACAGACCCTTGTTAACAAAAAAATTGTGCGTTATGAAAATTACTACCGTACAGTAAACGAAATCATCGATCACTTTTGAAACTCTACTCGTCCAGCTGTGCATCTCTCTGGCTCGTGTCGAAACCTGACACCGTTTCGACATTCGAGTCCCATTAGTTTAATAAGAGCACCGTGCATTCTTTACGAAATCCCCGATCGGCCACCGGACGCGCTTTTGTAATGCCTCAAAAAAAATGCACTCAAAATTTTTCTCGATTTTCGATAAAAGATAAACGTAAAAAAAAGAATAGCTTTTTGAGCAAACTCAACAGTCAATTCAAATGTCATCTAAATTTTCAGCGAAATTTTCAGCAACTTCTCAAGTGCGGAGAAAAAGACTTAAAAATGTATTTGTGGGATATAATACGTTATTTTATTGAAATAAATCGCGATCCTTATTTAAATCCTCTTTTAAGTACGAAATAAAATTTTTCTTTATTCCTGCCAAATGAGCCATCTATTTTATTTTTTTACAATTAATACGAAAAATAACGCCTACGTCAAATTTGTGCTGTTATACGGCTGCGAGACTTCAAAGACCACAAGAGGTTTAATGAACAAACTTCAGGTCTTCGTGAATAGGTGTCTGCGAAGAGTCTGAGACTGTTCTGGCCAAACTCGCTTACAAACGAAGAACTATTGCGCGTTTTCAAGCAAGAAAAAATCGACACTGAAATCCGCCGCAGAATATGGAAATGGATTGGCCATATAATGAGGAAAAACTCACATGATATAACTCACATGACCATGGAGTATAATCAACAGGGAAAATGTAAAAGAGCGAGACCCGCCATGTCTTGGAGGAGAACAATAGACAAGGAAATTAAGTCTATTGGAAAAAGATGGGCAGAAATAAAAACGATTGTCCAAAACAGAGTAAGATGGAGGAGACTCGTAGACGTCCTATGCTCCTCTTTACGAAATAAAAGGATCCATCATCAAGAAAAATAAAATATTCACAGAAACGTACATTCTATCATCAAATTTTTTATAACCAACATATCGAAGAAAACGTCACAAGTAACAGTTGTTTCTGAATATTTCAACCTTTTTCTCAATGTGCAATATATAATTAATGTATTCAATAACGGTTATCAATTTCTTTTTTATCTGTTTTACAGAAAAAATTTTTTGATGCAAATTTGTCTCCAGTCGAATGAAACTTTGCAAGTATACAGAATGAAAATATGAATTACTATTTTTTTTTTTTATATATTACGCGTTCTCGTCTCGCAACTATTTCGAGAAGAATTAATGGCTTTAACTTGGTTGTGACTACCTTTCTCCGAAATAACGGTGTGTGTTGTGGTGTGTGGTGACCCCTATTTCTTTTTCCTCCAAAATCACAATCGCGGTTCGCACACAGCGCGGACACGCTTGCGAAAGCGCGTGACGCTCTCGTGTGTAATCGTCAATTAAATTAAACGGCCGTGGCTTTAGAAGCGATTATGAATAACGGACAATGTGTGTGGCGATACGCGACGGACGGATGTCATGAGGCGAGAGAGGCGGCTGCGAGGTGACACAACCTTGTGTTTGTTCACAACGTCGATGATGTAAGCGACTTATTGTATAACGTGCAGCGATTGTATTATAAAATGTTAGTGGAAAACGCGGAGGGGAGGAAGGTCCACAATAAAGATACTATATCAGAATCCGGCTATGAGTGACTTTCTCAATTCTCTCTCTCTCTACGAGAGAAAGATTGACATAATTTCTCCCTGTATATATATACTATTTCATTTTAATTTAACTCTTATATATACTGAAAAAAAAAACTAAATTTTAATAAATATATTTGTTTGAATAATTCCAAGTAAATCAAATAATGTAAACATATATTTATTTGATACAAAAACCATTAATTTGATTTAATCTATCTTTTTTTATTGAGCAAATATTTATTGTAAGTAAATGTTTACTTACAACTACAAAGAGGTATGTATTAAGATTTAGTAAGTATTTTTTTAGTGTTACTGTGTCTCACTATATAATTTTAATTAAAATTCTAGATTAAAATAGTATAAGTTAGAATGTAAGATAGTTTATGTACAGGGAGAAATTTATATACCTTTTTCTCTCGTAGGATTTTGACAAAATCGTTCGCGTGATTAAATTCTGATCTTTAGTTCACGTCGGCTCGTGAACTAAAGATCAGAATCTAATCATGTGTTACATGACAGTCTCTTCCGAACGACTCGCAAACAGAAAAAAATGGTGTGAGAAAAATAAGGAGAAACGCGGAACATTGAAATCTTTCCGATTGCAGATACGGCGTAAATAGACATAAATAAACATAAACGGACCCGAGGAACAGGAAACGACTTGCTCGCGTGTTACGTTTGCATATGTACTTTGGTCTAACGTAACAAAGTCCGTCGTTATCGATGCAAAATGCGGATACAAGACTTAACTTTCGCGAAAGTTAAAGCGCTTTCGATAAGAATCTGGAATAACGGTGTGTTATAAATACTAGTAATTTCTTACTTATTAATACCTGTTTCCACCAATGTAGATTCATTTTAATCTCGGTTCACAATTTGCTCTTCGTCTCTTTCCAGTTCTAAGGATTAAAGAAAAATGAAGACAAATTGAACCGAGATTAAAGTTAATCTATATTGATGGAAACAGGCATTAAAGAACTAATGTTCATTTCTATCAATATAAATTAATTTTAATCTCGATTTAACTTAAGCACAATAGAAAGAATCGGCAATAGGAACAGGGAAAATAAAAGATTCAATCTATCAAAATATCGAAATCTCTTATTTCTAAGTTTTAGTCGTAAGAAATTGACCAATCACAATCGAATGTGAGAAAAATAATCGACTATGACTGACCAATTTCTTACTTTTTAAACTAATGGCTATTGTAGAAAATTCATTAATTTTTTTCTAATTTTCTAAAAATTAGAGAAAATAGAGAAGAGTAAAAATAAAGAGTTGAATCGAGATTAAAATTAATTTATATATTCGTAGAAATAGGCATAACCGAACGATGTACTATATAAAAATGACGAAGTGATAAAAAACCAATATCTTATCAGTATAAAGGATATCATTATTGAAAAGTAAGAAAATTCAGAAAATGCTATCATTTATATATACAGTCTGTCTAGTAAGAGCCAGATCTATCTCGAAGAAAAATGGCTTATTAGCCTTAAATTTATATTGATTGTATTCAGTAGGATTATCGCCAAAATTCAATTACATTAATAAGGAGTCCAGTCATCATCAGCTGTGTCTATAATAAAATACTGAAGAAATCGCATATTCACGTGGCAAAGACCTCCAGATTCGTCGAATTTCGTTTTTTAAGCGCTTCGAAGTTGATGTCGGTCTTCCACGAAGCTTCCTCTTGATGAGTGACCACACATTTTCAATAGGATTCGCATCGGGTGATTGTGAAGGCCAGTGAAGTGTCTCGATGTCATTTCCCTCTTCGAAAGACACCGCGTTCTACCGTCGTGGGATTGCCCTGTTGCCGGAGAGATGGGAAAAAGTAATAGAAAATGAAGGAAATTACTTTGATTAAGGTATTCGTTCATTTTCCCTTCGAAATAAATCAATTTTGGAGACGAAAAAACGGCAGGAATTACGTTCAACACCTAATATAAGGAAATATGACAACCATCAAGACGGATCGGAACAAACTGAGCGAGAAGACAAGTAAACGATATTGGAAGATCATATTTTATTTACAATGGGTATATACGCATTGTGGAAACCTTCGGTGTCAGTTTGTAAATTTAAACTATGTTTTTGCTTTTTAATATCTCCAACACTATGCGCTTTCTGTAGCAAGGTTCTTCATCTACAATTTTAATGTTATCCCATTGGAAATTATGACCATAATTCAATCTGTCCTCAGTTATAACTGATCGAGTAGATGTATTGTGTCTAATGTGACTACAATGTTCATTAATTTTAGTTTTTAATTGTCTTACCGTCTGTCTGACATAAGAAGCATCGCAGTCTTTACACTGAATTTTATACACAACATTATTTCTGAAAGTATGCGGTCGCGATCTTTTTGAACTTTGATACAGTCTGTCCAGTAAGAGCGGGGCAGGCCTACCTCGAAGAAAAATGGCTTATTAGCCTTAAATATATGTTGATTGCATTCAGTAGGATTATGGCCAAAATGCAATTATATTAATAAGGAGTCCATTCACCAGCTGCGTCTATAATAAAATACTACAGAAATCGCAAATTCACGTGGTAAAGACCTCCAGATTCGTCGAATTTCGTTTTTTAAGCGCATCGAAGTTGATGTCGGTCTTCCACGAAGCTTCCTCTTGATGAGTGACCACACATTTTCAATAGGATTCGCATAGGGTGATTGTGAAGGCCAATGGAGTATCTCGATGTCATTTCCCTCTTTCCAGGACGTACACCGGCTTCGATGTTTGGGGTTATTATCTTCCTGGAGTAACCAATCTTTATCTTTACTGATAAACCAGCGTTGGGGCAGACGGAATCAAAGCTTTTTGGTATATTTTTAATATTTGTTCAGGTTGTTAGTAAAGAGGTAAAGTCTGCTTCGAAACGAGACGCGTAGGCAGCACTCATTTTGAAAATCGTTTATTCTAACACAATTCAAGCAGTAACGGGTACTTTGTTTATAATGCTTGCAGCATAAAGATGATACCTATCGGCAAAAACAAAAATTCAGAGTATATCTTTACTCGACTGAGTAAGCCTTGCTACGCTCTTACTAGACAGACTGTAGTGGAAAGTATGCCTCGGAGGTGCCAGTCTATTATAGACGCAGCTGGTGACTGGACTCCTTATTAATATAATTGCATTTCGGCCATAATCCTGCTGAATACAATCAATATAAATTTAAGGCTAATAAGCCATTTTTCTTTGAGATATGCCACACTCTTACTAGACAGACTGTACATGAAAAATAATATTAATCTAAAAATAGGAAGGGTCAATAATAATGACCATTCAATACTTTATTAGTTTATTGCCAAAAGAGAAGAAAACCGATAGGTTCCTTTATTTCTCGACATCCTCGGCGTACTTAAAATATCTCGACCTCAAATCGTGAACGAGCGATTCTATTGAACGGAAATCGTTTTTTCTCCCTTCAATTAGGGAAAGAGGTTGTCTAGATAAGGATTAATTGAGTCTTCCTCGAGGAAGTCATAAACGTTTCTCAGACGAACGTCGTTCGGTTGCGTCGCCCGCCGTCGATCTCGCAACGAACTTCACGGTGGAAGCTTCGATCAACCCGAACATTAGCGAACCGTTACGTCCGTATACTCTATTATATAACGCCTCGGCAGTTGGAAACTCGGCAGCTGCATTGTGCGGATGCATCCACGGATGCGATGGCGCGCCGCGTCGCCTTTATATGCCGCGCCAATGCCGCATTATACGGCAAGAAGTTAATTCGTGATATTGCCATCGGGTATTGCGAAACCTTGGTTATTTATCGCGTTAGCCATTTGTGCCGTTATTATATAAGAATGCCGTTCGGAATATCAATTTCTATTGTAAATAATATCTTTATTAAGCGATATAAAAAATAGGCCTTAAAATTAAAAATAAATCTCATAAAATTGTTGTGTATTATATTACGATTATAAAGTCGTTTAACCAGTACACTGTTGTTGATATATATACTGCATTCGAAAAACGAAGTAAGGATAGATTTTTGCATAAAGGTGGAAGCACAGAGTCTTGCATTAACATATAACGCATAAGAAAATGAGCTAGTGAAAGTCTTTCAAGTTAAATAATTAAACGGTCTAAATCGAGCTAAATGGATTCAATAATAATTGTTGTTCTTAAATTTATACAATATAAAAAAGCTAACAAAAAAATGTCATACGTTTCGGGACTCACAGGGGTCTTTCTTCAGCGATTATTACAAACGTTTGCGTCGTTGGATTGATAATATTTTTATAAGCGTTACAGACATATATATCATAATTCGGATTGATTTTCCTGTTCTCAATGCGAGTGTCTAGAGTTAGATAATTAGTTGTCGTCAACAAAGTCAATGAGATAAAACAAATTAAATTGAATAATTTAGTCAAAGATAATATTGAATTTGATAAATGAATAATTAAGTTAGGATAATACGTCAAGTTTGATGAAAATTGAATATAATAACTTACAAAGGGGCATGTGAGACACGACCATCATTAAAAATTCGTCCGATCGAGTTGAACATAGATATTACAATGATAAAACGTAAAAATATAATAACAGAAACTATATTTTTGTGCGTGTGCGTGTGCGTGCGTGCGTTCGTGCGTGCGTGTGTGTGTGTGTGTGTGTGTGTGTGTGTGTGTGTGTGTGTGTGTGTGAATATTTTAATTGGTTGATTCTCTTTTGCCTTATACTTTATGAGTTATGCAACATTATGCAAAATTCTATGTTACGACCTTAACTCATTGTCAATGAATGTTAGGTGAGTATTAAGAGCGAACTGTACATTTTAAATTCGACAAGAAATTCAAGACAAACATATTAAAAAATCATTGAGGGTTTATTGAACAGCTTTATCTTTTAAACGTAGCCATTGTGTTGCTAATAAAAGAAGTCATATTATTTAAATATAAGGAATAAATATACCTTCTATTGATTTATTGTCGAAATAATGCAAATATTTAACCAATAGGTTTCTACTAGTCACTGAGATTTTATATAGAAACATAGAACAAGATTTTGACGGTCCATTTGGAGCTAAAGCGATAAAAATGATAAACCGATTTGTATATGTATAAAGGAATCTCGAGTCTAACCTTGGCGACGAGTTGCTGATCGTTGTGTACGTCAACGCATCGATAAAGAGCGCTACCTTCGGCCGGACCAAGAAGCAGAAATCGATCCCCCAGTATAGTCGGGCTCCCGTGAAGGTCGCTAGGCACTGACTCGCAGCTCGGAAAGACGCAACCTGGCACCACCGCGCTGCTCTCGTCACTGGTCGGATGCTGCTGTTGCTGCGGTGACGGCTGATGGACGTCTTGATTACTATTGGTACCGACCAAGAACTTGCCATTGTTGGTGCGGGTCGATACTTGCAAATGCAGTGGATGTTGCCTGGCCACTCTCATGTTGCGCGCACACACAGATACGCACGCACACGCACACAATTAACGTGTCACTCGATGTAGCCGTTACTCTAACGTCCTGAATTGTGCGTCCTGGCATCCACGCGGGATTATAATAAGATGCGTTGAACACACTTCGCGTCACTTGGACTCGGCACTGGATATTATAGCTCGAGTATCCGACATTGTATATATACAAACAGTATGGAGTTTCGCAAGACGGTCTCGGGCTCCTCTAAGCTCTAAACGCGTTAACTATTAGTTACAAATATCACTTGTGCTTTTGTTGACCCGTGCAGTATCGTTTCGTAGTGTCGCTGCGCCGGGTCCTTGGACGGAGAGAGATCTTCGTGTGTTATCAGTCGGTCGCTCTTTGCAAGAGCTGATCCTGCAACACGAAAGGAGTGATTGTTGTAATGATGGCTCATTATATTGAGAGTTAAGGCTACTTCATCTATGCTCCTCTTTGCTCTCTGTATCTTAATTTCTATTTTTCGTCTATTTCCCTCTTGGCGACAATTTTATCGACAATCGGGTTTCTCGTGACATATTTCTTGTCCTTATAACTATAAGGTTCATCAACCTCGGACGATAAAAAAAAAAAACAGGATAAAAAAGATAAAAGTGACAAGAAACAGGAAGCACACAAAGAGAACATTACAGATTAGATTTATTTATGAAGAAAACGTAGCTCGCGCGTTACATTTGAAAGTCAAAATACGAGTCTATATTATTTGCCACTACAACCTTTTTTATTTAAATTCGAAAATAAGTCATAAATAATCTGTATAATATATATCTGATACATTTTGCAATTATATCGAACGTGATATGTTAATTCTGAAGACATAAAACTGAAAATTCATTTAGCAAACATTTAATGTCAGCCATAGTGGATACGAATATTACGAATACCGAATCATGGTAAACCGGCATTGCATCATGTCTTCCTCTCTCAGAGACGCCGCACTACATCCCTTTCGTTATAAAAAAGAAAAGACATCACCGATAATTCGCGCAGGTGGCCCTGGCCAAAATAGTAGAAGCGGCATGGCGCACCTACACGACAATTATGCTTACCACGACGTTTACATGTATGCTCGCAACTACTCGCAAGATCTGACGTGACGACGACGACAATATATTTCCGTTCACAGGAGAGGGGGAGGGGAGTTCATAATATGATTCACGGACAATTTCAAAATATGACATTTCGACATTTCTACGCCATGTGCGCAATTCCTACGATTACACGATTAAGAAAGGGAACTCCGTAAGGTCAGGGGTATTCGCCGGGGGACAGGGACGGCGGCGAGTCTCGCGGTTGCCCCAAATCAATTTCCGGCCGTGCGTCCGCGTTATGAACGTCGATCGTTTCGTTTCGATCGGGTCACTAAGCGCGAATATATATATATATTTTTTTATAGAATAAGTATATAAGTACAGACACAAATGTTGACCGTTGATGCGTCGATTGTTGTCTATAAACTTAGAAAGCTAATGCAAATTTATCTGAAAGTTTCAAGAGAAAGTCAACGTCGCTATGTGATCGCTCACTTTGTTTTATACAAACATTTACGCTATAGCAGCTGCCGCAGGAAAGTGAAACTTAAATTATCCTTAACATTTTCGTGATAAAATTTTACAGCTTCTCAAAACACTATAATCTGTGTTTGGGTTAATCTCCCTTACTTTTGAAAGTAATACAAAAATTGTTAAGCGATTTTTACACTTTAACATTTTTGGGAAGTATTTATTTGTAAGGTTATAAGTTATATTTAAAAAACAAGGAAGGATAGAGATTATTTAACCAAGTGCTTCTAGTATTTAAAAAAAAATTGCAGAACACGAATGGTCCAAATCATTTGTATTAAGAATTATCTCACAAGATAACCCATAAGTATATTCTTTTCTGATTTTTATGAGCATTGAATACATTGCTTTCTAAACAAAAATACGAGGCACATTTTAGGAAGCATTACCTACATCAAAATCAGAGGGTTTTGCTCCTTCATGGGTTTTCTGGTCAATTCAACTCTTCATCTTCTTTTAATTCTTAAAACAAGAACAGTGAAAAATAAGTTGAACCAGATTACAGTTAATTTACATTGATAGAAACGGACATAAGTGTCATCGATGGCTCCTGTCTCAAGGTATGAACCGGCACTGAACCGGACGAATGAAAGTAATCGGTGACGAGGAAAATTACGTGACGGTTTTATGAATGATCCGACAGAAAGAGGAGGTGGGTACACACACGTGACCGGCAGCGGTGGCAATCGCGTGGACGCGAAACGACGCGATCGCTCGCGAAAGAAAGATATCCCTCTTTTTCTTCATCCAAAGGGAAATAGGAGTATAGTCGAATTTATTCAGACCGCCTGAAATAGTAGCGGGCTGCGATGATCCACTCGCGCGATGACTCATTCGCATAATTTTATCGCTTATAAATATCTTTCTCTCCTTCCTCGCACGCTCCCGCCAACATCCCCTATTGATAAATGTCGATGACACGCCATTGATCCACGATGTTTACGAATGTAACATCTCTTGCTTTGAATGTACTCTTGCTCGCCGCATCATTGAAATCCGTGATTGCGCGAGAAGGATCTGTGTTCAAGAATTAAATATGGACTTGTGGACACTGAGAGGGTACGATGTTATGAGTGATGTTACCCCATTCGGTTTCGTTTGTCAAACGCCTGAGTTTATATTGATATTGAAATCCTCTTTCATATCGAATGAACGTTATAAGACCGGTATTTATAATCGGTTCTTATATTACAATAATTAAGACCTTCAGTCAGTACAGTTTTAAGATGTATATCATAAACCAGTCACAGATCACATTAGATCTTAAGACATTATTAAGATGGTCTTAAAATAAAAACTGACTATGAATATCGGTCTAGTCGCTAGTGCCATCTTCGGATAAATTATGTGGTAATTTGTCTAATAAATAAAAAAGAGGGTGAGAAATAGATAGATAAGTAAGAAATAGATAGATAGATAAGTAAAGACGTTTATTATTAATTTAGACAATCTATCTAAGAATGTAGAAATAAGTAAAAATAGGAATAAAAGAACAAAAATAGAGAATGCGAACAAAAACGAGAAAACGAACTGAGATTTATTGAAAGAGGGAACAACATAGATCAAAAACTCACTATAAATGTTTCAAAGCATTTGATTTATCAAACAGAAGAGAGAGAGAGAGAGAGAGAGAGAGAGAGAGAGAGAGAATTTTACTTATTAAAAAGAATTTTTTATTTTTAAGCATTTGTGTGTGTGTGTATCGAAGTCACGATTGTCAAATTCTACAAACGGTTGAAAATGAAGAATGTGCGAGCGAGCGTAAACATTTACTTGGCGCTTGCTATGAAGACAATCGCGAGCTTCTGTGTTTTATATATAACGAAGGTCTAAATATTATAAGAATTCGTAAAGATACTCGATTATAACCACATCAGCAAATTTAATTGTTCATAATCGTTTCGTGGGAAAGTTGAGTGGACGAAAGTAGATCTTCATACACCACTCACGTCGAAATTCGCTTCCAATCGCTGGGTCGCCCCTCGATGAGTACCCCTCTTCAAATTATACATTCCCATCCGCATAACCGTTCAGAATCGTCGATTCAAGATATGCAAATGTCGCGCAGTTGTCCTTGAGGAAACTCCTCAAAGTACAACCGACACGGTACGTCGCGTATTGCTATTTTTCATGTCACTTTGTTTTGCGCAGTAAAATTATTTTTCTTTCAATCAATAAAAAAAAAAGTCAAATTTGATTCCACGTCAAATTGTATTATCCTCAATTTCTGCAGTTTCAATAATGCCAAAAGTAAAAGGAGTACATACATAATTTACTTCATGAAATATCAATTATATGTATTTTTCCCGAGATTCTTCCTTTCTGTTTTCAATTTTTCAATTAATAAATAATTAAAGGTTGCTGATATATAATTAGATTTAATTTTCTAGAAATATACATAGGATACGTATTGTATTTTATCTCAATGACATCGGTGAATTAGAGAAAAACTAGGATTACTAAGCGACGATTGTTCTTGTTCACAATGTGAGGAATTATAGCGAATTAACGGTAACAATTAACGTCTCGACAATAACGAGTGACAAGATCGAATACGAAGATCAGTACTTCTGTTAGAAAAACCGATAAAAAGATCAGTTTTTCGCGAATTATTATACCAATCTCAATTGTATAAAATGAAGATCGATGCTGATATAAAAATAGGAATATTTATCCTTGACAAGAGATATCAATATTAAAAAAAAATTAATGAATTGTCTGTGTAAAAGCAAATTAAAAATTGCAATTTAATCAATGCAAACTCTAGCCATTACAACCTTGGCAAAAAATATTAGGAACCTACATTTTTCTATTTATCTAATATTATTTTACCTATTGCATTATTTCTAGTTGATTATTAACATTATATATAAATTTTGTCGAGTTCTTGAAACAAATGATAGTTTCACAGCAAATAAATTAATTTTTAGACTAAAACGTTAAATAATGCGTTCAGTAGAAAAAATTTGCAATTGCTATAAAATTCTTTAATGTTTGGTTATACTTGCCCTTAATTTCTTGCTTAATCTAAATGTATAATAATTCTTACTGAAGACTCATATGAATCGTAAAGTTGCTTTTTCTACTAAACGCAGTCCATGGTTAACAAAATAATTTTTATAACCATGAACTTTGGCAATCGAAATGAGAATAGCTATCTCAGACAATTTTAATGGAGATATTGCTCAATTTACTGCCTATTTACGTGCTGCGTTTTGTATCGTGTCGTTTGAAAATCATATATCACTCGCGCGGCAGATGCTGACTGGCGATACTTCGCGGCCTCCTCCATTACGATATCTACGCACTTGCGCAAAAGTCGACAACACCAACGCAACGACAGATCTCCTCGCTCCAAAGACCAGGGCTATGCATTCAGCAACGCAATTTTCCTGCCTTTTCCTCCTCTTCCCTTGCCGCTTCCTCTTCGTCGCTTGATATGAAACACGAGATGACGAGGTTTTATCGTCATTAATATCGGTTTTATCATCGGCGAGGACTCTTTTCAATAGCGGAAAACGGTCTACTATCTTCGATCACGTGGATGCCACGATATTCGTAAGGTCAGCGCCGTATCGACAGGTGAACGTGCCCGGACTCTGATTAAAGGAGCAATCATATATCGCGCTACGATGACCCAACGTCTGGCAAGCACGACCTGTTTCCTTGAATCCGGCTATCGCAAGTATTTCGAAAAAGCTAGACTGATAATCTTTGTGTATCGCGCCCCTTGAGAGTGGAATCGAAATGGAAGAGCTATTAACGGAGCTACAAAATCTAATTTCGCATTTCAG